CACTCCAGTCTGGGCGACAGAGACTCTAACTCAAAAAAAAAAAAAACAAACCAACAACAACAAAAATAACATGCCACATAATTCTTATTCTTTCATTCATTCACTCATTCATTCATTCATTTGAGTTGAAGTCTCACTCTGTCACCCAGTCTGGAGGGCAGTGGCACACTCACAGTCATCGCAGCCTCAACCCGCTAGGCTCAGGTGATCCTCCTACCTCAGCCTTCCAAGCAGCTGGAATTATAGGCATGTGCCACCACGCCTGGCTAATTTTAAAAAAAAATTTATTATGGAGATGAGGTCTCGCCAAGTTGTCCAGCCTAGTCTTGAACCCGTGGGCTCAGGCAATCTTCTCACCTCTGTCTCCCAAAATGCTGGGATTATAGGCATGAGTCACCATGCCCGGCCTTAATTTTTTGATTTATTGTAGAGAAGACATGGTCTCACTAAGTTGCCCAAGCTGGTCTCGAACCCATGGGCTCAGGTAATCCTCTCACCTCAGCCTCCCAAAGCGCTGGGATTATAAGTGTGAACACTGTGCCTGGCCAACCAAGGGAATTTTCTTGACCAAGAACTTGCCAAACAAACTTGATCCCTTCCATCCATTACCCCTTCATGCCAACCTACTTCATTCATTTCAACAAATTCCTTGGAAATCTAACTCAGTGCTGCTGTTTTCCCTTTGCCTTCATTGCCTATACCAAAGCCATTCCATTTATAGTTAGCTTTTCTCCATCAGTATTCCAAATCAAAATAATTTTGTCTAAAACAATTTTATGACCCAACCAGATTCTGTTTGTGGTTTGTTTTGTTTTTGAGACAGGGTCTCACTCTGTCACCAGGCTAGTAGAGCTTTTATTATTTTTGATCATTTAATACATTTTAGAATTAGGATCTTAACTCCAGAAACCTTAGAATCATCCCGGATTCAGTATCTATTTCCAACTCATCTCTCAGTCACATCTATCTGCTAAAATCTCAAATCGGTAACCTTCCGACTGAGTTTAACACTGCCTCCAGATCTACCCCCTTCAATTCACTCCTCATGTTGCGGCACAAGGGACCTAAATATAAATCTAACCGTATTATTCCTATGCCTAAAATCTCCAGTGGTTCCCAAAGCACACGGGATAAAATCCTAGCTCCCAATAAAGTCCTATAAAGACTGGTCCCTGCTTACTTCTCCCAGTCAGTCCTTCCCTCCACATCTACCTTTTTTTTTTTTTTAAGTCAGAGTCTTACTCTGTTACCCAGGCTGGAATGCAGTGGCACGCTCATGGCCACCTCAGCCTTGACTTAGGCAATCTTTTCACCTCAGCCTTCCAAGTAGCTGGAACTCAGGCATGCACCATCATGCCCAGCCAATTTTTTGATTTATTGTAGAGATAAGGTCTTGCCAAATTGTCCAGGCTGGTCTTGAACTCGTGGGCTTAGGCAATCTACTCACCACATCCATGTCTTACCTTCACTCTTACTATCTTAAGCCACTGATAGCTTTTCCTAATCCTTTGCCTGTACTCATCTGCACAGAATCTTCACCCTCCCTGGCATACTTTCCCAAACCTCTCTCATTCCATTTTTTTCTTACTAACTGTAATTCTTTCCTCAGCTTTCAATTTAGGTTATTCTAGGATACAGTCCTGGCCACCCCTCACTCTCATATTTTAACCCCTTCTATGTGCTCACATATAATGCATATCAGTTACCTACATTTTTTGACAGAAAACCTTTTCTTTTTTCTTTTTTTTTGAGTTGGAGTCTCACTCTGTCACCCAGACTGGAGTGCAGTGGCCGCTCCCAGCCATCGCAGCCTCGACCTGCTGGGCTCTGGCGATCCTTCCGCCTCGGCCTTCCAAGTAGCTGGAACTACAGACACTACCATGCCCAGCTAAT